TGTGATGACCTGTTGTCAGTATTGACTCTGATGAGTCATCACTAGCTGGTAATGTAATTGTCAGAGTAAATGCTTGCTGTTATTTGGCTTGTAGACATGGCTTGTGGGTGTCAGCTTCCCATTGAGACATGGCCATTCAGCTGACTGCATATCATCTAATAGGAAGAGCACTTCAGGCTGGATGAGGTCATACTCACTTGAGTTGAATTACGGAAGCTAACAAACTGCAGTCAAGTACACGGGATGAGTAGACTTAATGGTGTCGCCCAGCAAGAGCGTTCCAATAGATTTTACACTGGATATCATCGAGATCAAGCAGAAACTTCAGGGCTTTTTCCATTTCAAACTGAAGGACACACACACACAAACACACACATAGACACACACACAGCTTTCTGGTTCTTGACCAATAATCCCATTAGCAGTGAGAGTCTGAGTGTGTGGAGGATCTAATAGCTTCTAAGTTTCTGATTAGTAAAAGGCACGATGGTGGAGGGACTTCACTTTCTCAAAGTCATAAAACCACTGATAACAGACATAACCCCTTTATGGTTTTGATTAAAAATGGACTCACCGATAACTTCACATCACTGAAACACCCACAGGCTTTGTGAGGCTATTCATAATCTCAACTTTTATGAGACATGCATTTAGAAATCAAAAGAAAAGTTCAAAAGTGAAACCTCGAACACCAGGAAATCTGCAAGAAGTAAAACAACCTCTAAAGCTCATGAATGACTTTTATTATCTAATAACTCTTACAGCTGGTGAAGACAAAGAGAACAAAATGCAACTCCCTCTAAAGCCATGAATTGTTTTTACAACCCTCTCTGGTTTGGTAACGTTGTTATATATTCATTTTCATTTTGGGCAGAGCAATCCTTCCACATGTTCTAACTCTCCACATAAAGCAGCGGCATGAAAACTGCTATCAATAATCTCATCACACTTTTGTAAGAAAACAAAAAAACAATGTTGTCAAATGTACTAAAAGAAACTTGAAAGATGAAGCAAATATTCACATAGAGTCTCTTTGATGATATATCTGACATGAATGTTATAACTTAGATTGAAACATATTATTGGGAATACCTTATGGGGTTCAACAGTTAGCATGCTGTATACATAAAAAATGCTATTACAAAAAAAGGTCAATGGAATGCTATTGTCAGGAAATCAAGAGCTGCATGGAACAATGCAAAGGTCTGGATGGATAGTGTGTTAGCAATGCAAGGCGGATTACTTGGTAGTAGTCAAATCCCTTATTATTATAACTATCATTATAATGAAAGGTGTTTTTTGTCATCAGAAGTTAATACATGAGCATTCATTATCCAGGATAACTCATCTATGAGAAAATAAATATAAAAGGTAATAATTGAACCTGCATCTGGTTGTGAACTAATGATCGAAGGAGTTTGTTAGTGGTGAAAGCGCCTATAGTAAGAGATTTGGATACTAATCCCTAAGACCTTCCAACATTAACAGCCTCTCTGATCCTCCAGGGCTCGTTCACCTGTCAGCGGCAGGATGTCAGCGGCCTCCTCCCTGATGGATACTCCTCTTTTCCTCTCACTTTCTATTACACTGCCATCACATTAGACATGCTCATCTAAGATGGAATCTTAGTTCACAGCTATCTCTGGGAAATTGGGGGAATATGGAGAGTCAGCAACAACAGAACCTTGAAAGTGCTTGTAAATATGCATTAGCACAAGTTATTTATATTTAACATGGTTGAAATTCCTCACTGTGTTTATTACATATCCATCAGGCGTGTCTATTACAAGTAACTGATGTGTCATATACACACATGTGGATTGACTATTTAAGAGTGTCATCTGCATAAATGCTGCATATATTTAGTGTGACAAGTCAAAACAACCTCAAAAAGAAATCTCAGTACAAATATGAAAACCCTGCAGATTTAAGAACTTGGTTTGGTGAGTCATTCAGTATTGTTTTAAAGTCGGACATAGGACATCTCCCTCCTGGCTGGTGTACCTGCAAGTGCCATCGGACCTCTGCAGCTAATAATACTAATATTATGAATACATGTGATTTATATAGCGCTTTTCCTTGTGCTCAAAGCGCTAAGAAGCCTTTTATGAAACGCCACTCGCAGAAGAAAAATCAGAGCACCGGTGATTCCCTGATCTGCTTCTGAAATGTATTTTCATGCATACAGGTACTACTCCTCAAACTAGGTGTGTCATTATACCAGAAAGGTAACAGTCGTTAGCAATTCCTGCCAAATCCACATCAGTTCTCGTGACATCTTGTACATACACCTGACACCTGAGCATATACTGCTTCACTTCATTTACATCATATGGTTCAATAAACTGACAAATGTATCCACAATCTTAGAAACTACAGTGATAACTACAGGCTCCAATATTCATGGTCAAATAGAACTCTTCTTAACACTAATACAATTCCAAGGAATAGAGATGCTATTGTCAGTGTGGCGGATTATTAGAACCATTGTGTTCCTGCCGGGTTCTGCAGTGCAGCCTCCATTACATGACTGCACAGGAACAAAGCCATAAGCCCTTCCAACAGATTAGAAACCACGACTCTTCTTCTCACCAGAAAGGAAGAAAGTCAGCGGGCGCCGAGCAACACCTCGCTCTCAGAATAATCCTGATTATTCATGTGAGTCTCGCCGAGGCTGCTGTCAGCAGAAGAACACTTATTACTTATGTAAATCCTGGGTGGCTAACGGTACGAGCTGTTATATAACACATGCAGCCTGAACTGTCACCTTCCTGCGTGAGGAAACATCCTGACACCCCCCCAACACCAACACCACATGGCCTCATTCACTCCATCACCATCTCTTTCTGTGTTCTTTCATATTCTCTGAGAAACAGACAACATATCACTGAGAGACGTTCACTGGTGTCACTGGATCAGCCTATCGCTATGGAGCAGTTTTACCAACTCATAAAGAGTTATGTCCCACTTCATTGGCAACAAAAATAAGTTTGGTGATGCAGCCCTCGTCAATTACGCCCCAAAGCTGTGGATCACAATACCTCGACATCAGGGAGGCATGCTCTGTGGAAGTCTTTAAAAAAAAGCTTCAAACATATTTGTACACTTTACTAGCCTTTTAGGAAGCGAACACTTGCTCTCTGCTGCACTTCTAAATGCAATCTTATGCATCATTAACTGTCACCTGCCATTATTTGGAGTTGTAGTCTCTATGTGAATGTGCGCTATCCTCCTTTTAATGCACCATTTTATTCTCGTAACTTTGAATGTTTTTTTTAAATGTGTATTCTATGCATGTTATGCTTATTTGTGTCTTTTACTAGTAACTTCTTTCTGATATCAATTTACTGTGACTATTTTAGGGAATGTCAACTGTCTACTGTGAAGTGTGTATGAACGGTGCTATACAAATACAAATTATTATTATTATTATTATTATTAATATAATGGAAAGTTGCTAAAAGTGGCATATAGATATTGGCAACGGCAGCATCGTATCAATGATTCAGCATTCAAACTGGCATCTGAAAGTTAATCCAAGTTTAGTTCCGATGTAAATATAGCTGCTCAGCCTAATCCTTGTCAAGCCAGTCCTCAAATAATGTCATAATATCTGTTCCATGATGTTTTTATGAGCTTTTATTTCTACTGAAAATGGCTTTCTAATTAGTATTCAAAACTCCCAGAGTGTAACTTTGGTGTGACTAAACACATTTACTTTAGAACTGTACTTAGGTCATACAAAATGTAGGTACATATACTTTACTTGAGTACTTCTATTTCATGTTACTTTATACTTCTACTCAACTACATGTTGGCAGTGAATACTTTTCACTCTACATGTATTGGAAGTTACTAGTTGATTTGCAGGTTCATTTTATAATTACAAACATTAAATCAGATTATTATTTAGCAAGTTATTCATGTTATCTCATTCTAGCTACACAATTACAATGATACAAACATTAATGCATCACTAATTATAAATCCATGATATAATATTCCAAAAATGGCCACTTTGGATAATGGTTCTAGATATACTAAAGTGTATTTATGTATTTTTTTAGTTACTATAAGTTACATTTTGAATGCAGGACGTCTACCTGTTACAGAGTAATTCTACACTGTGGTACTATTACTTTTACTTATGTATAACAACCGAGTACACCACCATAATATATGTGAGAACCAGCCATCCTATGTGGACAGGATGTGCAGACCTCTGGCCTTCTTTTGTCACTTTACTTTATTTAATTACATTTGTATTTTCATTCGACCTTTATAATACCATGCAAATGTTCAAAACAAACCCAAAGAGGAATGGGAACATTGTGAGGGTCTCCAATGTCCAGCCTGTTTGAGAGAGGGGCCAGAATGGACCTCTCTTAGACACATGTTTTGTTCATAACAGTGTATGGGATGTGTGTAGGATGCTAGTGCTGTTAGCCTGCTAGCTCCCAATGGATTCTTATCATACTGACATCTATAATACTACCAACACTATGTTCTGTCCTGCTTGCTTTTACATTTAGCTCAAATGCTCATATTATCAAAGCACTTTGATTTGATCTCCTCCAATGACCACTGACCCTGCTGATAGCCAATGAGAATAGAGCCTTACAAGTCTGAACACACTGAACAGCTGAAATGACAATACGATATTTGTCATATGAAGTACACAAGTTGAGTATTGATGAGTAGTGAGGGTTACAGTACTGCATGCTTGTGTGGGCGGTGGTCTGTAGGGACATGGCTTGGAACCGGATGGTCCCCTGTTCAAGTCCTGTTGAGTAGCCCTTGAGCAAGGCACCAAACCCTGCACCCTGCACTGTAAATATAATCGCTGACCACCCACTCTAGATATGAATCCTCCATTTGCTCTCATGTTGTGTTCCCGGTGGTAACGTCTCCCCTCTTTTCATCTGCACTTTTTGAGCATTTCAATAAATGCTCTGGTTTAACTACATTTCTTGTGAATAACGTAATAACTCATGCTGTACCTTCACATTGTCCGGGTGGAGCCCCCCAGGGTGTCTGTCCATGTACTGACACAGGTCTGTGTGCTGCAGAGTCAAAGAGAAAGAGCACAATATGAAAACAGCAACAAGAGAAAGTGCTCTTATGGATAAGCATTACGATTGAGAATGTCATTTTGGATTCATATCATTTTGATTAAATATGAGGCAGATTAAGAAAACAAAAACACAATATTTTTTCTGTTTCGTCCATTCAGAATATTTCCTTCTGAGAATGTGGTTTCTTTTCTAGTGGTCCTTTCCATCTGAGACGTGAGGTGATTTGAAAGCTGAGCTAACCCCCCCGCCTGGCCTCTGTGTTTTGTTAGCAGATTGAGGGTGGAGGGAAATCAAACTGATATTTACAATCCGGCACTAGCGGAGCCTCCTCTGCTGAATAATTCAGACGGACGCTCTCGCATGGACACGTCTGTCTGTCTCACTTCCCCTGCTTCTCTCGGTAATGCATTTCCTCGTTTTCCTCACAATTCCCTGTCTCCTCTCCCTATGTATTTCAGGGTCATCCTGTCAATCATCATTGCCGTTGAGAGGAGAACAATAAACTGGGGTTTGAGGCTGGGAAGCCGTCTGAATGGAAAACAGCACACAGTGATTTCAGCTCTACACGAGATGATGGATCAACATGGGACAGAACAGCTTGCACTACAACATTTAACCTTCCTGCTGTCCTCGGGTCAGATTTGACCAGTTTCCGTTTTTTTATGTCGGGATAAAGGTACAAAGATGTTATTATATACATTCATAATCATAATAATTTTGGTTAGGTTTTGGGTTTTATATCATTTGTGGTCTTCTGGGGGTGATTCTGTAAGATCACCCAACATGTGTGCCTTTTTTAACCCAGAAATGACATTTGATTTTGTGTAAATTAGGTCTATTGACCATACACGTTGAAAAGAGGACTAACACTTATGGTAATAAGGCGGAATAACGTGGGCTTGAAAGGTGTAACACAGATTTGAGTGATTATTTATACTATGCTTTAAGTCAAACCTAGAGGACAGAAGTTGCACAGTTGATAGCAACACAACACAAGGGTTAAGTCGCATTAATAATCATTTCCCACCAGGCTGAAAGCAGTTCCTCGTATTAGAATGGTTGTGTTGCATCTCAATTGGAAAACGGATTCAGTCGGTAATATGAATAATCAGAGAGGACATGTCCTCAGGTCACGTCTCACTGACTCTCCTTCAGAAGCTGAGCCTCTGACATGCGTTACATGTACTTAAACACAGTTTTCAGTCTCATTAAATGAAGCTGAGGAAGCTGCTTCTGGGGAGAGGTTTAGCCCGCTCAGCGTTTCAGGATCAAACATGGAGCTGAATATCAATGTGAGCGTCAGCGGCTGTCAGTGGGTGCATGTGGAGGAGCTCCACACTCACACTTCTGTCCAAAAGAAAAGTTTGTTATTACTTTACAACACAAAGTTTACTACGAGGAAGCTGAGCTGAGGTTTGAATATTGAATATATTATAATGACTTTTCTCTGCCCCTGGGTCTGAGCAACAGTTCACTTTGTGTGGTTTGACTTGAAGAGATGTGGACAGGATTTATTTATCTCTTCATCTCATAAGAGACAATAGAAGTTCATAGGAAGTGTCACAAAACCCTCACTTTAAAGGGTATTTTATAAAAGGACTAGTTTCCTGTGTTATTATCACAGACTATAGATAACAAGGGAAGCAGCGACTAAGATGATTTCTGCCCGACAACATGTATATCAATATACAGATATTTGGAGTACATGAAACCTTATAATGAACAATCAATCAGTCAGACTCATTTCATTTATATAGCCTGGCTCTACAATGTGTTCAGCCGCCTTACAAATCATTTCCTAATGCTTCGCAAATCATTACGTTATTCATTCACAAAAACGTATACTATATATTTAAAAGGTATGCAACATTAAACTGTGAGCTATGATGAAATATATCATTTTTAAACTCATTTCATGTTACAACAACTAGTGATAATATAGCATACATTATAGCATTACTTTAATTAGCAAACGGTATTCATTTTAATTTGCAAACAGTACAAATCTACAATTTATAACTGATGGTTATTATCATTTAAATGTTTCTGAGACAACTCTCCAACAACATATATGAAATATGTGTGTTATACAGATCATCTAATGTAGGCCATAATAATATATCAGCTGAGCTCTCATATCACTACAGAACACTAACAGGTGACCTACTTAAAGGGCAGTGAATACACTTAACCAATGATCACAACTGTATTGTGCTTACAATATCTGACAGTCATTCAATTACTATCCTGAAGTTCTAAACATATCCTGGGTAGCTCCAGACCCTGCAGACTGTTGGTCTCTACGGCTGGTTTACTTCAGATGGTAAACTGCAGTAGGAAGCCTTCCTGTAGGTCAATAGACTTTCCTTCAACACATTGAAACAGTGGCCTTCCAATCAAATGGCTGCCTGGCTTCCTGAAATAAGACAGAGCATGGATGTTTAAAGAGAACAGGATACTGCGTTGGAGGCGGGGGCCGCTCATTCCTATTTAAGTAGTTTGGTGGCGCTTGAAATCAAACTGTCTGTCCGGACTATCTGGAGCAAATCACCAGATCTACCGGAGAGCTCGTGCATCCACAGGATCCAATCAAATGAATAGAAAGGATCATTACTCTGTTTTCCACAATTTTACAATTTTAAGCATTTCATTATTTCAAAAAGTAATTTTTAAGTTTCAGACTTTGAAGTTGATTTAACTTAAAGAGTCCCTATTCTGCTTTGTTGGGTTTCCCCTCTCCTGCAGAGTGTTCTATAGGTTTTAGTGCATGTAAATGGTCTGCAAAGGCTACAATCCCTGTGTTCCCTCCAGAGGGAGTTTCTCTCCCACACACTCCCCCCTGCCTGAAACGCCTCCTTTGGACTCCTTTGTTTATTTCCGGAACATAGTGACATAACATGTGCTGATTTAAAGACATATTATCTCAATGTTAATCGTAAAAGTATTTTCGGGGCACATGGCATCACATGCTTGACATAAGTTGTAATTCCACCATTTGGCCACTTCGAAAATGTGTTTCAAAGCCCGCTGACTTCCTTCAGGCCTGGCATACTCTGCTCTGCTGTGTCTGGCTGCTGTGGAAAACAGCTCAGACTGCTTTAACATTCTTCAAGTGCCTAATCAACAAAAGTATGGAAATCTACATATCCAGAGCTCATCTTTCTGTGGGCAGATTATAAAGAACTGAAAGCAGACACTGAGGTGAATAGAGTCAAGCTAAAGAGACACACATGAGCGTGACCTCTGACCCCTGCGTGTTGAACAAACAGTGAACCAGACTGTGGGGGGGGGTATCAGTGGACCACTCACCACATATTCAAAGACCAGCGTCAGGGTCTCCTTGGTGTGGATGATGTCATGCAGGAGCACGATGTTTGTGTGCTTCAGGCCTTTCAGGAGGGATGCTGCGGAGAACAACAGACAGAGTGTGTGTGAGACAGAGGAGTGTGTGTGTGAGCAGAGGAGTGTGTGATCCACGCCTTCATTAGCTGCATCGTTAGAATGTTACACGGCCCCCCCTAAGCCTCGCTGCGCAAACAGGGGATTAAGAAAGATTGAAACTGAGAAAGGAAGGCTGTGAGTTCTCACACTCATTTGTCAACACTTTTATGATGCAATGGACATTGTTAATAAGTAGAGCAGTGAGATGGTGTGGGGGGGGAAGACTTTAATTAAAGCTCACTGAGTCTTACGTGTGATCGGACTCGCTAAGACTTTCACATGTGAGTCACTTCAGAGTTAAACCTGGAGTACAGTCTGTGCAAATAATAAAACTAAATATATTTATGTAAAACATAACATAACATTTTTTTTACATTTAGAAAAATAACGTTTTGAACATATTGATGGAAAGATCTCCGCTATTCTGAGACCCTCGCAGTATTCCAGTCCCTTTTCAAAACTCATCTCTTCTCCTCTTGTCTACTCATCATAGCCCACCCTCCATCAATCCATGCCGGTTGATCAAGTTTGATAGTCCTATACCCCCCAACCTAACCTTCCCTTATATTGTAAAGTGATTTTGAGTCCTTGAAAAGCCCTATACAAATATAATGTATTATTATTATTATTATTATTATTATTATTATTATTATACTGACAGGTATCAGATCTTGCTGTGTAAAATAATCTTCCTGAGAGGTGTCACTTGTGATGTGGTCTGTGTGGTCTACAGTGAATGTATTCCTAACAGCAACAGGTGATAAGAATCAAAGGTTCCCAGAGGATCCCATAGAAAATGCATGGGGGTCATTTTTGACCCACTTATGGAATTTCTTAAAATGTAAATTTAAAATTTGAATGGCATGATATCCAAAACATGTTTTTTGAGGAATAGCTGGAATATGAAATGATAATCTTTTTTAATTACAAAGATACTTCAAGAATACCACTTCACCGGGTCAAAAAAGACCCACTTATGCATCTAAGGGTTAACTATGGTCCTCGACATTAGGGTGGCTGGCTTTTATTGAAAATGGAGTCCCTTCTTATTACAATTCACTCTCTTTAAGTTCACTGAAGTCACACTCCTTTACAAACAGTCCTTGTAATAGCTTGCTGTAATGGAAAGTGTGTTTTATTTACAATTGGAGCATAAGTTTGGTTTGAAATGATCAACCACTGGGGGCAGCAAACACTCCACAGCTGCTCAGAAATTAAACCAGGAAAACAAATTCAATACTGAAAATGTTCCTCTATTTGACCCAGAATGTGTGCATGCGACTTACTGCATGTTCAGTACATGTTTTCTGAGAGTGTGTGATGTCAGTCCTGCACTGACAAGTTGGGCTCTGCAGATAATACTCTAGAAATATATGGAAGAATAATATACTGTTGAAAGGTAATTACAGAACAGAAATAAGTTGAATGGTTATTGCTGAAAAAATGTGAGGGAAATCAAATGCGATTTAAATAATATAACTTTAATGATATTCTAAGACTGTGAAAATGTTGGAAAGTCATTGAAGGACTTTTTTACTGCACCCTCATCCATTTATTTGTAAGAAACACCCCACCACTCTGAGGCTACTTTACTTGAACTTGTCAGGATAAGAAGTGTAATTAGACTCGAGCAATACACTAAAAGCTTGTTGAGGCAATTACCGAAAATAACAGACCACTGACCGAAGACATCGGACAACAATAAGGCATTACAGGGGAAAGTTTCATGAGAATATGAGAGCAGCATAATGGTGCTCTTTTTATAAAAGGCAGAATGGGATTTTTAGACCATTTGCCAATGTGATTAAATGATCAGAGACAAGGTTGATCCGAGGGCACGGGAGGGATGGAGGCTCATGCATACATTCATCCTGCACCAGGACCTAAAGGTTCTTTAAAAATCACATCAGCAGGGGTTAGTGCTACAGATACCTCAAAGATTCTGTCATCAGTTTGAAGATCCCCCCCCCCCACATATGCACCCAATCTGAGTGTATTCAACAGCAGCACTCTGTAATGCTGCTCCCATTTCAGCGCTCCAAGCTTCCTGCTCAGTCATTGCTGAATTAGTTCAATTTCAAAGCTGCTTTCTGATCCTCTCATAACGAGAGTATGGACTGTGTGTGTGTGTGTGTGTGTGTGTGTGTGTGTGTGTGTGTGTGTGTGTGTGTGTGTGTGTGTGTGTGTGTGTGTGTGTGTGTGTGTGTGTGTGTGTGTGTGTGTGTGTGTGTGTGTGTGTGTGTGTGTGTCAGGTCATATTCTCATTTCAATTCTAATGGCAGTCTGTGTGTAGAGGTGAGTGTTTCTTCTGACAGTTCAGGCGGTACACTGATAGCATCAAGTGCTGCACACACACTCTGTGCTGCTGACAGACATGTAAAGGGACCACTGGTGGATCACTGGATGTCAAACAAATGGATACACATGTAAGTTAAGTTACGGTTTGGTCCACTATGGGCGCTGTGCATTTCTTAAGTATTTTTGAAACCAACAATTGTAGTTAAATATCTATTTTTGTTGTAAAAACATCCATGTAATCAAGTTATTTTTGTCGCCTAGTGAGTCTTTAACAAGTGAAATATAAAATGACCTGTCCAATTATTTTATAGAATAATTGGCTATATTCTGAGTTCAGAAAGATTGCACTGGACAATACAAGAAACAAGTGTTGTTCTACTGGAAATAGGTACACACTATTCCTGGATTTGGCAGGTTTCTTTTCACTTATGCTTACACTCTAAAATAATCATTATTAGAGTTAAGTAATGGACAAAATTGGAAATGTTGTAAATGACCTTGATTTTAGATCATCCGTTAAATACTGAACACTCAAAGTGCATTGTAAAATGCATTATAACATAAACAAAAAATAATTGTTGTAATTATATATATATATAAATGTTATACAAATGTTTTACTTCTTCTGGTGATATCAATATTTGTATTATATTTTATATTATTTAATCTTATATTGGACAATTTACTTATTAAATTACTTCTTAGCCGGGCCGGCTAAAATGATTGGTCGTGCTTTTTACAGTACTACGGCTTCCACAGATGACATTTTTTAATGGATTTTTTGTCAAAGCACTTAAGATATTCATTGCTATCGGGATGTTAAGAGCATTCCATGGAATATAACAAAAAGTGTATCTCGAGCCGGTTTCTCAAACTTACCTACCCTACCTTTAAATTATATATTGTTTTCATTTCGATCAGAAATGGTGAAATTAAACCCAGTTTAAAACAAAACTCTGATTGTGTAATTATGGAGATGGCTGCTTTTGACACATATTGAAAGGTAATAGGATTACTGACTGTAACTGTATTTTCAGGAGATATTCCACCTACTAGTCCATAGCCCTTTTCTCAATATAGTGTTCAATACATTCCCACAGTCAGTCAGTCACCGCCCACCCCCTCACCCTCTCGTATGGCGGTGAAAGGCGTCCCCTCCTCCTCCTGCAGACGGATCACCTTCAGAGCCACCAGCTTCCCATTCACCCTGAAACATGGAAACAATATGTAAATCCTGAGTTTTCTTGTGACATGAAAAAAGAATCTATTAAAATCTGTGAAGCCGGAGAACAGCAAAGATTGGTAAGTCAATGAAATGTAATTTAGCAGCAGTGGAGTGAGGCTGCAGGATTACAACTGCAATCAGAAGTGTTGTATTGAAGAGCGACGCTGAATAACATCATTACTTAGAAGATTACAGTCTGTGGAGCTTCATACATTTACACTGTGTGCAAGTTCTAGAATGTAATTAGAGAAATGTGGAAGAGAGCACAAAGCGTAAAAAGTGGAACATTACAACTGAATCAATGGACAGACGCATCAATCCTGTAGCAGCTCTACAGAGGAGACACATTATTGATATCAAACCACACTGTAACTGTTACTGCTGTTCCATGTAATAGTTGCCAGCATAGTGAACCCGGACATGTTGAGTACCCCAACGTTTTATTTCTAGAAATGTATAGTAGGGTCCCCAGCACATAAAAACTGCAGGATGCTAACCTGCATATGTTTACTTTGATTTCCGATTTGGAGAATTTGTGAGTGGTTTTGGGGATCATTGAGGATACTGAATCCATTTCTGACAATCTAAGGATCAAACATGGCAGTTTTAACCAGAAAGGGGCCATATGTGTCCTCTCTGTGGGCTGATTGTGTTGCGGCCACTGGATATAGAGAGCACAAGATGGAAATTATTATCTGTGGACAATTATTTTTCAAATAAATAAGCAATCTGTCCAATCCAAATGATGCAGTCCCCTAAATCTTCCAAATCGGCCAAATCTTTAAAAAGAAAATTCAGCCAACAGAGAGTACAAATGTTGGCATTTTCTGGTTAAATCTGCTATTATTGATCCTGAAAAATGTCAGAAATGGACCCATCCTCTATTAGTTCCCCAAAACTATTCAAAAAAAAATTGAAATCAGCCAAGCCATTTTTAAACTATTGTCTTCATAGGCTATAATGGTAACTCATGCTATAAAACACAACTTATGCTAATTGTGCAAATTGCCAAACATATGCAAGTTAGCATCCGGCAGTTTCTATGTGCTGGGTACCCTACTATACATTTCTAACATGCAACTTTGGGGTACTCAACATTTCCAGATTCACAATTGGACTATGAGATGGCAAACATTATTGATATAAAACTCCACTGTGTAACTGTTATTGCTCCATGTAATGAACTCATTCAGTCACAGTGCTGCTCCTGTATAATTCAATGTAATATGAGGGGCTCTAATAAAGAAGAGGGAGGGGATCAGGCGTGACCCCACTCTACTTACTTGCTCTTTCCTTTGTAAACTGTAGCATAGGATCCCTCTCCCAGTTTCTCCAGCTTCTCATAGGAGTCTGCCTTTCCAAACTTGGGGCTTGTAGGCTGAGGAAAAAAGAAAAAGTTTGAAGGTAATTCATGAGCAAGAATTCAGTAACCCAGATAAGAAGAGTCTCCGAGGAAGTGTTTAAGAGATATTCAAATGTGGAGGCTCCTCACTGCATCATCAGGGAGGTGTAATGACAGTGAGGAAGAGGAGGGAGAATTTCACAAAGTCCTTATGTAACTCTGAAGACTGCTTTCATATAACTGTCAGCTCATAACTTTTCATAGTCGACAGAAAGAGGTAACAGCTGGGAGGAGATGAGGCACAAAGCTCTAAGTGTTCAAAGCTCACTGATATGAAACGGGAAATATGAATGTGTTCTACTCAAACGTATGCGTGTAGAGCACTGATGTGGTAGATGAAGATGATCTAATGGTCCTTTCACTCCCTAACTGAGAGGTCTGGTTACAGTGAACCATGGAGTGTTTGACTGGTAGGGACCAGAGACAGAATGAAAGCAGAGTTTCTGTCCCCTCTCAGACTCTGCTGTTTGTGTTCTGAAGGAAAACAGATCAACCACAGGATTACTGTCACCAGGGGCCTCATTTATAAACGGTGCGTACGCTCAAAAGATACGTACGCCAGTTTCTAAGCAATCTTTGCGAATTATAAAAAACAAACTTGATGGGAAAATGTGCGGTCCTCCACGCAAACTCTGACCCATCCGTACGCGGTACGCACAAAAACGGGAGAGACGAGAAACTGCGACACCGTTGGCAGAAGGAAGAATGGAGAGAAATATGTGGAAAGAATACCATAAATATCATGTTACCTCTCATTTATCAAATATGAAGAATTAAAGCCAATCTTAAAATGATTAAACAAACGCCTGTTTGAGACTCCTCAGTGCACACAAAAACATAACTTGGAGAAATAAATAAATAAATACGGAAATATTATTGATCACCCCTCGATTATGTTCTCTTGTTAACAAATGTATCCTCATAAAAGATGCGGTAAACAGAAGGATAGAATTACTTTAAACTGAGGCCGTTTTGCTTTTCTATAGGTTGTATAGATACGAGCATGGTTTTATATACTATCATGTTTTATGCCGTTTGCTAAGTCGCTCGTAAAACACAGGAGGTATGGAAACTAAGAACACCATATTTGGTCAATTGTACAGTGTAGTGATCACTTATTAATACACTGGGTTACATAATTCAATCAAGGAACTATAGGTTGGGGGTATTGTTCCGCACGGACACTAATGCTTACTGTACCTCCGGGGTATATACTGTGTCCTCCTCCCTTTCGCTTTCTCTTCACCTTCACCTTCGATGCACCGCCTCCGACTCCTATCTCTCGGCACTACATTGGTGACCCCGACGTGATAATGTAGTGCCGAGAGATAGGAGTCGGAGGCGGTGCATCGAAGGTGAAAAGTGGTGCTTTAATGAGCAGCAGAAAACCACATGTTGTCGGGTCGCAGCCCGGGAAGAAGAGAAAGCGAAAGGGAGGAGGACACAGTATATACCCCGGAGGTACAGTAAGCATTAGTGTCCGTGCGGAACAATACCCCCAACCTGTAGTTCCTTGATTGAATTATGTAACCCAGTATATTAATAAGTGATCACTACAACAGCTGATATAACTCAACACATTTGTTTTATTTCCTTTAACTGGTGGATATAGAGTTGCTGCGGGGGGGTTGAGACGCACGGGCTGCAGTGGAGACGCTGCGCACAGCTGATCGACAGCTGATCGACAGCTGGAACACAAACCACGAAAATAATTCAGATCCAGTCGTCATGACTCCACTCCGGAGGGATTCCCCGATCATTTCTTACAGTTTCTCATCATGGGGGATCTCCTGTCCCCGGCACAAACACACTGCCTGAGGAAGGTTATGTGTATTGTTTTTGTCATTAACTTTTTTCTGACCACTTATTTATTATTTTGGTGAAGATCCGACCTCCATGCTGCTACTCTGGTTCAAACTGCATCCACCAAACAATGTGATTTGTCTCGACCTCCCCAAAAGAACCAAAATCTGACACGGGGTGTTTCTCAATGTCGAGGACGCTTCCTTGGTAGGACATGTCTTCCGAGTCACTTCCTTCAGAAGCGAGGCAAGAATCCTTCCTAGCCTCGGAAAACGAAGAATGGTGAACAGGCTAACAGGTGTGCAGGTGTGCGTCATATGCGAGGCCTCGCCTTAAATGGAGCGCAATTTCCGCCAAAGATTTGGAAATTGGTCCGTGCGCAAAGCATTGTGGGGATTTTAAGACCGCGGAGGATACAGATGTGCAGCCTCGACATTTCTCGCTACGAAGGACGCCGGGCTCGGTAGAATTCCAAGGAGCCTGGACATTGGAACAGTCCTTCGGCGGGACTCGATGACGTAGCATCCTTGAAATAGTGGCTCTGGAGCATCCTTCCTTGACATTAAGAAACACTGTGAGATGTCTTTTTTAGCTGTTCTGTCATAATTTCCTGCGATCTCCTTCATGCTGTCAGTCAAAATGAATATTAATACGGGGCGTTTCTTTGACTATTTATAGGCAAATATGGGCGTTACGTGAAGCCCACAAAAGCTGCGCCGCATTTCGAGTTGATTGTGATTTATAAAGGGAAACAGGTGTAGGACGTGCCACACTTACGTCCTACGCCGGTACGCAGTGTTTTATAAATCGGAATATTTTTGTGCGTATTTATTTGCTTTGTCCTACGTGAGCCACCTTCCCATGTGAATCCTACGCAAAGCTTTATAAGTGAGGTCCCTGACCTGGGATTCACAAACTAATCAACTTTTAAATCCATCCACTGTTTGGGACGATCAATTAATCAATCTAATTTGATTTATAAAGCCCAATATCACAAATGATTTGTCTCAGGGGGCTTTACAGTTTGTAAAAAAGACACTCTCTCTCTTAAGACTCTCATATCGGACAACGAAAAACTTCCGAAGAAAACCCCCCAGTTAATGGAGGAAAATGGAAGAAACCTCGGGGAGAGCAACAGAGGAGGATCAGGACGGACAAATGTGAAATAGATGTTGTGTGTAAATGAAAAAGATAATACATTTACAACATAGGTAGTCCACATTTTTGAAAGGATAGTGTGTATATATAAATAAAAACAAAATGAAGATAGATCCAGGTGGATGGTGGATGAGATCTTAAGCCATCTGTGTAAGATATGTATATTTATGCAAATAATTTGAAAACCATGGTAACAGCCTTATGCAGGCTTTTGCCTCATCAATTATAACTTTTAAAGTGCAGTGTTTAAAACATATATCCTACGGTTAGATTCATGTAGTCCATTTAAAGTGTCATTTCTCATATTGCTTCACAAGAAGCCTTTTTTTTATCTGTCTCTTGTCTGCCATTATTCATAACAATATGTAACAGTAATGCTTAAAATCAACCAGCGAGAAGATACAAAAGACTGCTACAAGCTATGTAGAACACTTGTCAGCCGCACACTTCCCCCTTAAAGCTTTCAGTGCACTTTGAATCACACTTTTCTGACCCAGCAAAGTGTAAAAACCTGTTTGCAGTATTTTGACTTCTGTTTCTACTCTAAATGACTAAGGAGCATGTTAATGGGTAAATGAAAATGCACTTATATTCGCATCTAAATACAGATTAACCCCGCCTCCATTGTTTCCAGCAGGATTTTATTCCATTAATAATGTATACATTATATTTTATATTGAATGTGATCTGTGTACATCCAGCCTGCTTTTACTTGGACACGGAAAGTAAAGGCTGCTCTGACTGCATTATTTCAAGCAATAAGAATGTTTTATTATGAAAAACACAAAAATGATAATGAAATATTTAGGACAATGCAACATTAGAAATCATTGAAATCCTGCTTTACTGGTCATATGGTATCTCTGCCTATTTGCCATTTTAATACTTTAAACACATTTTGAAAGTTCCCCAACAAATAAACTAATTACTAGAAAAAGTCGCCATCTCTACCAACACACTCTCTCCGCACTACAAGCTGAGTTTCCATGGTAACCCTGGCACAACTGTTTAATGCGTTTCACACACTGATGTGACTGATACTCCATCATCGGTACGGTTCATATTTCTCCTGCTCTGTCCTTTTTCTTTCCTTTGGGAAACATTACATACTGAGACGTTTTTGCCGGGTGTGAGGGGATTATAACAATCTATAATTTGCTGATTTTACGTTCTGTAATTGTATGATATCAAGTTTGTGTCTGTCATCCTGGAAGAAGGTTTTGTAATTGAAATGATGATTACCAAGAGAACAGAACGTTTGAATCTTCTCCATAGATAATACCATGCCTTATGTGCCGGAGCCGAGTACATGCATGCAGCTGAGATGATGTCATCTCTTTGGGATATGTCCAGTCACAAGCGGCCATGTGACCACTCAGTGAGTGACCCTTGACAGAGTCATGGGTCAGTTATCTCATGACTCAGCATGTATAACTGAAAGTGATTGTAAGCAGACAGATGAGTGTGAGGAGATGTGTGTTACTGTAGAGATGTGTGTTACTGTAGAGATCTGTATGCCGGGAGCCTTTTTAGAAATAGATTCATTTAAGACTCAGAAGGACAACTCTTCGACTGGATTATTGAAACATGTCTTAACAGGTTAAGCCCTGAGCCTGTTTTTCAGGTCTCAGGCTCGAAAATGACATTCCCAGAACAAATGACCATATCTTCCCTTCTAAAAGGGTTAAATTAATAATCTTTTTTCTCAAAGTAATGATAAACCTGTGAGTTGGATGTAGAAAAGTCAGAATCAATATAGATGTTTTTTATTTTAAAGAAAATTCAGATTTTACATAGTAAAAAACTGTAAATTATAGTGTCCGTCCAAAAATTATTTTTTACTTATAGTGAAAACTACCCTTGGATGATGGTAAGGTAGACTAAAAGCTTTAGGAATCCAAAGTACAACATATAATAAGTACCCTGTATCAAGATTGATGCAAAACAAGTGACATTTGACCTTTTTGGAGAGATTTAGCAAAAAGAAACCACTTCTGGGGTCATTTGGGTGGATTTTCCATATCTCTGGCCCCCCTTGCTCGATTTTGATGGTTGACACCTCTTTCTGACCGTTAGAGCCAATAGAATCGAAGGGGGAGTCCCCCACACACACTCATTGTGAAACAAAACGGTGGGGGCTTTGCGCATGTAATTTTGCATCAGAGTGAACCTATCTCTAGCTTTGACATCTGGAAACGGAAAAGCAGTTTTAATGCTTATGGATTATCAGAAATCATTTCAAAGGGACACAGACACATTGGATTAACCTATGGATTAACTTCAGCAGCGTTTTTATCGTTTTAATGCCAATGAAGACCACTTTGGAGAGACTACAGAGCCAAGGTAAAAATGTTAGCATTTTTAGCTACCTAGCGTCACCTGTTTTGATGTCCGTTTTTGCTTATAACGTCTCAAATACGTATAATTCAGTAGTAATGTCGGTGTCCATCTATTCTGTGTCACCTCACGATGTGAAACGATGTTATGTTTTGTGAGTGATTTTCGGTGCAGTAAGGTGTTAGCATTTTTCGCTCGTTGCTAATTCAGAGGCTCAGTGTTAGCATTGTGGGTTTTCTTTTGAAAAAAAAAAAAAAATGATCAGTTAGATGAGTTTCTTCCCGTTACATGGATATAAAACATTCATAGTTTATTAAATGAACATGCCCTCAGACACTGTTTCCTGCAAGATGTTGCGGCAGTGCCCCGGTACCGGGGTCTCTCGGGCTTAACAGGTTAAAGCTATTAATGTTTTTCAACTTTGGAAGCACTTTGAAATGCCTTGTGTTGAAAGGAGCTGTATAAATGAGCTTGCCTTGCCTAGGAGGGAGGTTACTTTCCCTGTGCTTTTTAACTTTTCATCTCCTTTAGACGTCTTTTGGGGGAGCTTTTGCTCACTTAACTTCAATAAATGTTTATCATTTTGTAACCAGAATATTAGTTCTGCTAATGTTACACAGGACTCTATCATCAGGTGTCCGATTTCAGATGGTGTACTTACACAACAATGCTCACATAAGGATAAAGAGGATAGATCTTTAAAGGCTAGCTGGAGTATTGATCAATCGAGTGTTGCAGAAATTGTTTCTTCAATCTATGATGAATTAGTCAGCGTTTTTTTGAATGTGTTTCTGTTTAAATGTCTGAAATAAAGTCTGTGGTTAACACAAACTGAAAAGATTTCTACATTTGGTTCTACGACACAAAATACATCCGAATATGTCCAAAGCTTCATTTTCTGCAATATTCCAATAGAACAATAGCACAGCTTTTTGCTGAGGGAGCCCTGGCGATGCTAACTTCAGGGTCGGCCTATAGGATACGTCATCACTGCAGCACTCTGTTCTACTTCAGCTTCAAACTACATCAGTGTGTACACGGTGTGCAGCACTCTGTTCTACTATAGCTTTAGACAACAGAAAGCAGTCTTCCTGTGTGTTCACGGTGTGTGTACGGTGTGCAGCACTCACAGAGCTGGGGCTGGAGTGCCGGCGCAGTTTGGGCGACTCCTTGCTGGCGGACGTGGTCTTGGCGGCGAGGCAGGCATTGTTCTCCGAGTGGACCCTCTTCACCTGGCTGACGGGCTTCTCGAAGGGGTCGAAGCCGCTCTGCGTGCGCTGCACTCTCACCTTCCTGTCCTCAGGTATGGTGTCCAGGGGCTTGATGACAGAGTCTGTTCCCTGGCAGCTGCGTGTGGACATCTTTGTGACACATATCTGTCAAGACGGAAGAGCAGAGAGAAGATAAAAGCGTTAGAGAGCATTAAAGAGGAAGATCCATCTGCGATCGTCAGTGAGTGCCCCTGCCTTCCAGATCCTGTTTTTAATCTCAATCAGTCGTGGTCTCTTCCTCCCTGTGGAGCCCTGCTTCTACCTCTCTGCTGTAAGACAGCCTTTCATCTGCCTCTCTCTTCTCTGATCAAAACAGATACAGCTTCTGTCGGCTTCACTGCATACACACATCTCCGACACACACCCATTCAATTGAGCAGCCATGCTACAGATTGTCTCCTGCAGGGCCCACGCAGAGCCGTGCACACTCCCCGTCCATCTCCAGAAACAAAGCCCCCACCAGCGGCTCCCCCTCCACGGACCGTGTGTAACGGACACAAAAGACGCAGGCGGCATGACATGTTTTGCCACGGCTCCCTCCAGATTAAATATTTAGGCCTGGGCTCCCCTGCAGGAAGAACTTCTAATTACTTGAATACACAGGGAGGAGTCGTCTTGCAGTCTCTGACTTTTTAACAGGGCCGGGTTTCATTGGACAAACAAGAGTTATTCCCACTGCCCTCCTCTGTCATGCTAACATGGAAAACTCTGATAGCAAATATTATTGATGCTGTGGTTTACTACAGTATTATTTTACATTATTCTTATTTTGAAATGCATATGAAAACACACTTCCCACATGAGCTGATATGTTACATGAACAATATCAGATAAAATAATGCAGTTGCCCCCATGATTGTTTTTTATATATAATTGTTCTGCTCTAACAGTGTACCAGACAGTCATCATTCTATGTATTAAGCACACACTAATGGTTACATTGTTCCAATATATTCAGAAACAGTCATTACATTCAAACTATTTATCAGTTACCTATAATAGGTTTATGTAAAACTGTCAACATCTATCAATCTGTTAGTTATATGAAATGTCTTAGAGCTGTTTACAGAGGACACAGTTTATATTTGTTGATTAACTTTCACAGAATGAACATTAGTAAACAACAGCGTAGTAAAACCCTCAGCTGAAATAGGTATAGTTGGTGGAGGAATCAAGTCACCAGTTTTAACTAGGGTTATTAGGATTTGATATATTCATTATTACAATAGGTTATTTTATGATTTGGAATTTAAAATGTGCACTTTTCTGTATTAATGCACCACATCCCTTTGTTGTCTCCCACCAAAATAAAGTGAAGGTGTTCCAGAAAGAACATGAATAATATGTCTAACCAAATGCATGTGAAGTGGGCCAAAAAATACACAAGATGTAGGAGGAAAAAAAGAGTTGTCATAAACATGAGCCCATATCAGACAGTCCTCAGTGACAGCAGTTGTCATCTGAAACAGAACATAAACAAAAAACAAACAGCGTCATTTAGGAGCGATCACACTGCACTGCATCAATACTGCATGTTCATCACGGCTGTGTTCTCTCTCAGAGGCTCTGCCATCAGAGGGGCTCCAGTTATCCAGACAGAAGAGTACTGAGCAGAGGCAGCGGAAGTTTAACAAAACTCTATGAAGAGTTTCTGAAAGTCCTACCACTCTCTGAAACTTTAACCAACTGCAATACGTGAACCAGATGATGTTTTGTCCGGAGATACTGTAGGTGTAATTCAATGTATTAGATTCATTTCAAAGTATATTGATTTGAGTTGTAGGGTTAGCATAAGGGTTAGGGTTAGGGTTAGCATAAAAAAATCAGTTTATAAAACTGTATATATTCCTAGAAAGTGCAAAAGTACACCTCTACCTCAGCAAGGCTTAAGGAAATACTGATTCTCTTGAAGGTGTGTGACTGTAACATCTGGTTTTGGTGTTGTGTTGCCAGCCCAGTCTTCATGAATCATTCTATGAACATGAAGATTATCGCAAAGGTAGATATATACACAGATTGGCAAATACTTTTCGACAAAACGCACAAAATCCTAATCCTAACTCCTAAATCCTAATCTTTTATGTAAGAGCGCCAATCCTTTGCTCTTTATGGGTGATATATTAGATAACTAGGATAGCATTTGGAGATCTTTTAAAAAGTAGCTTAGAAATTGGAAAAATGCAAAGGTTGTATTGGCTTTAGGAACAGATTTTGTAGCCAGTACCATTTATGATCGGGTTCTAAATTGGTAAAATACCCAGACTCGAGCTCAATGGCCAATAAATCCATTATTCAATCTTAAATTCCTTGTCTTTATTTATATAAACTCTGATTTCTAAACCTACAGCCCTCTGCAAAGACAGATAATGACGTAGAGAAAGCTTACTCAGCGTCACAGCGGTTAAAAGCACTGAACAAAATAACTTCCAAATGCAACATCTGTGGGAGGCTACTGTTAACCAAAGAGAACAAGCCCCTGCTTAAATATTTATCCACCATCCTTCATATAGAACTCAGAACGTGTGCTATTTTTGATTTTATATTTGAGAGGAAGGAGTGCTCGGCCTCTGCCTGCTGCCGCTGTAACTCTGCCTTCTGTGAGCCGTCAGATTTTAGGGCCTGAAGCAGTTCAACAACCTTTTTGCTTTCAGGTAAAATGATTTATTATGAATTATTAATATGCTGAATGTCTGCCTGACATCTCTTAGTGGATGTCTGCAAACCACTTAAAGCTCAACCTGAACATAAAGCTTTCTCTTTCAGGTAAGGACTCTCTCATCCACGACCTGACTGTTAACAGCACCTCTGTCTTTCTGCCGGACAACCAACTGTCCTAAACTACTGCAAACAAACAGATCTGCTTCAGGGCACTGCTACTGGCCGATGGTGCTGTGAATGGATCGGGTCCTTCTTAATTCCAGGAAGTGTTTAAATCAGGGGTGTCAAACTCAATTTCATCGCGGGCCACATCAGCATTATGGTTGCACTCAAAGGGTAACTTGTAACTTTAAGACTATACAAATATACATATAAAAATATATAAATATATAATATATATATAAAATAATGTATTATACTACATTACTGCCTCTGCATTGGATTATTATTAGATAGGGTAATAACTTCATAATTAACTACGTCTGAAAGCAGAAGTCTAGGGCAAATGATTGTAACGGACCGTCCACACAGCAGCGTTAAAAAGATCTTGGAGGTGGGCGTATCTGAAGCTTGAGGATTTTTTGCGAGCAAGGCACCAACAACCAATCACATGAATCTCCCGCCCCCGACATACGAAGCAAAAAAGTTTGAAGTAAACTGGATATAAACTCCCCAAACAGGCGAAAACATACCACTGTCTCTGCCACCTCCCTCCATGCCTGGCTCCTCCGGTTTATATCCCGGTAGGTAATTAGGGACTGGTCATAAAGCACCGGGTGATTCCCTACCGCTAATTTCTCCTCCATTTTTTGGAATATGAGGAAATGACCTGCGGTATGTCTCTCCCAGCATACACGCGGTTTGATTGGCTAGCGCTTGAACTGTCAGATTTGCATACACGGGATTTGATTGGCTGACGCTTCCACCTCAGCTTCAAAAGTTGAACATTGCTCAACTTTGAATCCTGAAAATCCTGAAAATCTCCGCTCGCCTGCCCACAATGCAGTTCGGCGAAAAGTGAGGCAAAGTGACGTCACCCCATTCAAAGTGAATGGGCAGAAGCGTTTCAAGATTTTTTAACGCTGCTGTGTGGACGGTCCGTGAGTCTCTTCAGTGCGCATGTCACAAAATGAGATGCATTGTGGGACATGTAGTTTAAATGGCAGCGTGCTTCTGTAAAGCGGCATGTAACCATATAATAAACTTATTTTATTCTTTGCAAGCTCTTGCGGGCCACATAAAATGAATTCCTTGAATTTGACACCCCGGTTTAAACCATACACTACATTATGCACACTTTGCTTCGCATTGGCCCATCGACTCACCACTTCCTCACTGCTAGTTTGACCAATAGAATCGAAGGGGGATTCCCCCACACACACACGTTTCTCGCTCTGACATCTAGAAACGGAAAAGCAGTCTTATTGCTCATGGATTATCAGAAATCATTTCAAAGTGACACAGACACATTGGATTAACCTATGGATTAACTTCAGCAGCGTTTTTATCGTTTTAATGCCATTGAAGACCACTTTGGAGAGACTACAGAGACAAGGTAATGTTAGCATTTTAAGCTACCTAGCGCCACATGTTTTGATGTCTGTTTTTGTTCATAAAGTCGCGATTTCGTATAATTCAGTGATAATGAGGGTACCCTTCGATTTTGTGTTACCTCACGATGTGAATCGATGTCATGGATGTGGAGAAAAGATAAAAAATAAGGTTTTGTGAGTGATTTTCGGTGCAGTAATCTGTTAGCATTTTTCGCTTGTTGCTAATTCAGAGGCTCAGCGTTAGCATTGTGGGTTTATTTAAAAAAAAAAAAAAAAAAAGATCAGTTAGATGAGTTTCTTCCCGTTACATGGATATAAAACATTCATAGTTTCACAGTGCCCCGGTACCGGGGTCTCTCGGGCTTAACAGGTTAAATAAAACATGGCTGTTGGATGTAATGGCTCCAAAATGTTGGAACCAGCTCCCATTATTATCAGGACCGCTAAAGATGTACACATCTTCTGTCGGATAGAGTCAAGACCCACCTGTTTCAACTCCACACTGGCCATATAAAAACTAACAAAAAAAACCCCTCAATTTGGTACATAAGCCGCTTTCACACCAAGTACTTTGCCGTACTTAGTTCCCAGCACTTAGTTCCCAGCACTTAGTACCCCCATGGAACTAAAGAGCAGATTGCGTTCACACCGGAATAAGTCCCTGAGGGAGGATTAGGCAAATGAAGCCGCTGACGTCACTTCTTCTTCTTCTGCTTTGGGTTTACTGGCAGGCCGCAAACCACTTCACGGCGTATACTGCCACCCGAAGTCCCCGGCCGGAAGTCCCCGGAGTTGGGGACTGGCTTCAGTAGAAGCTGCTGGGAGTCCCAGCAGCTAAAAAGGGGGTAAAAGTTCTCATGAACTAAGTTCTATTTTTGGTGTGAACGCAAAATC